CATCCATCCATCCATCCATTGTATTTATTTATTTAAGTCCTGATAATTACTTATCAGTCTTTGATTCTTTTCTTCAGGAAATGCCACCTGGAATGCGAATATTACTGGATTTCGTTCAAGATAACCGGCTCCGCCTGATTGACTGGTTTAACCAGTTTGACAAGGATCAGAGTGGTGGGATTTCACGCGAAGAGTTTCGTAAAGGACTCAAAGAAACAGGCCTCGTTATGACGACGGTAAGTGATTGGTGTACATGGCCTTAGTTTGACCGTGCGATGTCACTTTAAGTGCTCAAAGGTCGAAGTGTTTTATCATTATTTTTTCTTTTTATCTTGCTTTTCGAGTGCCAATCTAGCAGCCCACTTATTACATTGTTAGGAACATTGAATCATTAATGGAGTTCTTTGGCGTAATGCTTTTCCATGTCATCCGCGTGTCATTCTATAGAGAATCATTTCTTTGTTTTTCTTCGGTTGCGTATGAGAGGACACATGAATATGGATACAACTCAAATGAAGAATCTTATTCTCAAGAGAATGACACTTTTGGACTGTAATGGAAAAAACATTCGGCAAAAAAAGGTCTATTGAGGTGTTGACTAGTTTTTCTTTGATATTATCTGTTTAGCGCCAGCTTGATCGTCTAATTAAATTTATTGACATTAATGATGATGGAGAAATCGATTACAGGTACAGATGTGAGGTTTTTATGATTTGAATTGTATTCATTTTGAATTATTAATTAAGAATGTTCCTTACTTCATTCTTTCCCTTTTTCCTTGTTTTCATTCCTTTTTTGTTCTTTAGCTCTTCCTTCCATTTCATTCCATTCGTTTCTTTATCTTTTCTTTCACAGCTCTGCTCCTCTTCATTAGTAATAGACCACATTTTGATCTCACTAGATGAGCCTTTGTGGCTCTTGGAGAAAACAGTTAGAAAATAGTTAAATAAAATTAAAAAAGACCACATTTACTTGGGCGTATCGTTTTCCATTTCAGACCTCGCGTCATTCCCTAGAATATCATTTCTTTGTTTAACGAATGCACATGAGAAGACACATGAATATGGATACCACTCAAGAAAGAATGTTATTCCAAGAGAATGACACTTGGACTGTAATGGAGAAAAATTTTTCCTAAGGGGATTTAATCCATCTGTTTACTAAAATATCTATATATGTTTATTACCGCAGTGAACTTCTTCGTGGACGTGAGATCACGCTACAAGAGTTACGCCACGAAAAGAAGCTCGAAGAAAGAAATCGCCGTATCGAGGAAGATAGAATGAAACTTCCCAAACTAGAAGGATACGACTATGACTTGATGTGATGTAACAAACCAAGTCTCCAATAAATTTGACCATGTCATTATGACATCATCAACTCTGCGATTGGCTATGGAAGGACAGCACCATAACACGTGACATCGTCTGCTAGTAAGGACCGTCTGACTGGCTATTTCCTCCCGAGTCCCATCTTCATTTTCTCTGGGTCGGACACGACCCTTGATTCTGAAAGCCTCGATCCAGAAAACAAAAGTAAAAAACTTTAACTTTGCAAAATGCATACAACACTCCCCGGCGTACCGAATGTTTGATCAAATAAGACGCAAGACTTATGCGGATGAAGAGCTCAAGTAAAGGTCTTTTGCTCACAAAGGTTTTCTTAAGATAGCAAACATGGTGCTTTGTGGACCAGCTTTGGTACAAAAGTTCTTTCTTTTTTGTGGTCAATTTTGTACCCAAGCTAGACCAGAATGCATCTTGTTTAATGAACTCAAAGAAGAACAATGCGACTTATTAACCATTCCGAGATTTAGGAAAAAAACTGTTTTTACAACTTACAAATTTTTTGTCCTCTTATTGATGATGAAAAATAACCAATCAGCGCGCGAGAAGTTTTTAAGTTATTGTAAAAAAAAACTTATGTCTATTTGTTAAGTCGAGTTAACATTGCCTTTCATTGTTGGACTGTTTTAGCATTGCTAACTCGACCCAGCTTTCCCTTAACCTTGGAATGGCTAATTAAGAAGTCAATATCCAATTTTGGATGTACTGTTTGAATGTTCAAGCATGACTGAAACATTAATTTCGAGGCTCCTGGAAAACAATAATGCAATCGTAATAATTCTTTTGTTTCCCCGGAGCCTCGACTCGGACTGGGATTGATTCGTGTTTGATCACGCGACCAAAATATCAAAATAGTCCCTTCACAGTTCCCTGCACTTGCATCGAAGCGAGACGAACGGTAAGTTTTCAGTGATAGAGACATGTGAATGATTGTCCAAGGTGTTAAAAATGTTTCTATCATTGCAAGGTCATCGTTCGTTTCGCTTCGATGCAAAGGCACGGCTACCTTTCAAGATGGAGCAGGGAACGGTGAAAGGGACTATTGGCTATTGCCAGCTAAAAAGTTACGAATGAACTCTATTTCAAGAGGGTAACACACGACAGTTATAATTTWAAAAAAATCATACTGATAACCCAGTGGCCCTCATACTAGTCTAGCCAGGCGTGTAACATACAAAAATCAATTGTACTCATCTTTAAAAAGATGAAAGCCTTTCTCAAAACCCTCAAGTCTGTGACGTAATCATCCTTCACATCCAAGCGTTTTTGTTTTCAAGAAAAATGGAAAATAAAGATTTTTTTAACGTCGCATTTGTCAGTATAATTGAAAATATATCTGTAAAAGACTTTCAATAGTGTTGGATTAACCATTGTTTCCCAGTGAGCGAATGAAAATAGCCATAACTTGAGAATAATTTTTACTTGCTTATGTATCACTTCCTTATGTTTTCTTTGATCACTTCCTCATATTTTTTTACAGTAACTGCTGACTGATAATCTCAGAAAATAAACATTCCTTTAAGGGAAATGATACGTGGTTTGAAATGACTTTTATCGATATCACACGGCGAGAATAAAAATTTTTGTTTAGCCAGGCAAAACCTTCTACCTAAGTGCTTGAATGCGATGCCACGCAGGAAAATCTATTGTTCTAGTCAATTATGCAACATGACAAGCCTTTTTTGAGTTTCATAAATATGATGCATTCTGGTCTAGCATGAGTACCAACATCACCAAATAACATATGTTTGTGGATGCCTGACCACAATGCACTACGTTCGCTATCGAACAGAAAAGGTATGTAATTAAGTGACGCGAATAAATAAGCCGTCGCGAAAATACAATGACGCGAAAGTGAAGTCAAGCACGTTCAGGAATTGAGCTCGAGAAAGTCTAGTACATTATTTTCATTTGTCATAACAAACTAATTATAGATATTCTATATGTTGGTAGAAAAAATAACCTAATCAGAAATTTCGCCATATTATCCGGAAAGCAGCCAGAACTAACGATAGCTAAATAAACCTCCTTTTGATGTGTGTCAAATCAGAATGCAGTAATGTTATTAATTTATCTGGAGGGCACATCAGGACTTTGTAATGAAAAGGGTAGGGGGGAGAAATCTAGGGCTTGGGTTATTCGAGAAGGTGTATAATTCTAATTGACAGGGAGTGGGTCGACATATAATTGTGAAACAATATCAGAAAGGAGGTTACGTTTTTTTATAAAAACGTCTCGTAGTGTTTTCTGGCCAAAGTCAAAGTTCATTGATTCTAGAAAAGTCATATATATAGACTCCAACCCATCGTTCTAATAATCTTTATAGGATATATAGTTTTTATACAGCGACTGTTTGTCGTTATATTGCTTACATGAAGTCTTCGAAGGGGGTGGGTCATAAAATAAAGGTAATAAAGAACATTTTCGCTAGTCTTTATCAGATTTTCTCCCCCCCCCCCCCCTCCCTCATTCCTTCTTAAAAGAAAGATACTTATACCAAAAAAGCTTGCTGAATATTCCATATTAATAATTTCATATTCCATGTCAGATACCAGCCTCAGTGTTTAATCTTGATATGTTTTTGTTTTGCCAGGCACCTGTTTACAGAATGGAAAACAAAAATTTCCTGTAAGATAACAGTGAACTGGCCATTATCTTTCTTAACTATCATCCTTTAAATGACATGCGGCTTTAAAAGGTTTTGCTGGCAGGTGGGTATTTAGTGGAGGTGATTTGTGCGAGTAAAATAAAGCCGTATTTTTTTTATTTTTCATTTTCTTATTTTTTAACATTTCTATATTGAGCTTCTACTCTATTGTATAATGTTTTGCCTTCTGATTGGCTGATTTCTGACATGTTTTACATATATATGCGTGAATACATTTGCAAAGACATTCAAAACAATTCCTATCCATGTCAAGAGTTCAGCGATAAACCTTCGCGCTTCACTTCAGAAATATTTGGATTCTCGATGTAGCTTGGTCTGCTGTTAAGTTAAAAAGATGTCTTCGCCCAAGAAGACAGACAATGTTCGTGATGATCCAGAAATATCATTGGAGTTCGAAGATTCTCGTCCTCGCTCGGTAAATCTGCAGACTAAACACTCGTTTCCTTCTCCAAGTATAGATGCAGCTCTGCCTTGTCATTCGAGCAAGCTAAAGGACTAATATGGAGTAATATTTCTCTGTTTACAGGGCTCAAAGACAGCCAGAGACGAAGCATACAATTATTTGACTCGACCTCGGGCGGTAATGTACAAGTTTTGTACAATTTTAGATCATTATTTTTAAGTCGTCCCTTTTTCAGCTAGCAGCAGCTGTGTTTCGTTCGTATACCAAGGTGTTAGAAGTCTCACGACAGTTGTTTTGTACGTGTATTTCGATCAATCGTCAAATTATCTTGACCTATTTTTCAACAGGGTTCCAAGACTGGTGTATCTTTAGATCCCCATTCTTTGGACTTCTATACACCTAAGCTCGAAGCCACAGAAATAACCGGTAAGTTTACCGTAGTAGGAAGTTTAGAAAAACTGCTTTTCAATTTTTGCCAGACATAGTGCAAAAAATTTTTGACGTGTGGTTCTTGCCACGAAATCAGGTCAAATTTTGATAACTAAGTTATTGAACATGTGGGAGTATTTAGAATTCTTATATTTTCAGGCTATTTTAAAAGTAAAATGGCCGATGAAATTGACTATAGCTGTTTGAATATGATATGACTATCCTTTGGGAGCTAGATTTTTATCTATTTTACGACAGTTCTCGATATGTATTGCTGGTTTTCAATCATTCCAAAGAGAGGGAAATGACAAAATACACGGCGCCCATGTTGGATGAAGCTAATGACGAATCTTTCGTTAAATTCATCCAGCATGGCGGCTTTGAAAACCATCAATAATGAAGGAAATCAAAAACTCGTATGTTTGATACGGTTCTCGTATAAATTTTATTGCTCACTGAACCGAGGATCTCTCTGCTATGGATTCTTGAGCATTTCATGCTCAGCGAGTTAGCGTCAAATCACAATGATTCAACCGTATTTGATGACCTTGTTATCGGTAATAAATTATATTGTGATGGTGGATAAGGGACGGACCTTTTAGAGATAATTGAGGTCTTGAGAAGAGGAGGGTTGCGTAAATCCCCAATAAAATATCGAGCAAGCACTTCACCTACGAAAAATATATCGCGCAACCTCTCCTTTCAGTAAAGAAATATTCAGCAAATACGAAAACATTTGCGTGGAGGGATTGATACAAAAATAAATAATAGTGCAGCTTGAATTTGCCCTAGTTCACTATGACGTCACATCAAAACAATCTATCGTTTAAACGCAAAGGATCATGGTCGTCGGAGGGGTTCAAATCAACGCAAATTCACCGAAAATTGTTCTAAAACCCGTATCAATCCACGAAGAGAAGTAGAATAGCCAGCAAACGCTCAGAATATTTTTTAGTACATATTAACGCATATTATATCTGAAAACCAGGCCATTTTAGATTAAATAGTTTCGTTAGGAGCACATAAACAAGCAGTGACGTCATAGTGAAATAGGGAAATTACTGCAAACACCCCACACAATCCCAGCAGCCTTTGTAAGGAAATACTCGACCCACTCCCCCACTTTAAAAGACGAGTGGGGAAGTGGGTCGAGTATCGCCTAACAAAGGCTACTGGGATTGTTACTGCTCTAAACAAATTCACACGTCCCCAGTAATAATCCCAGAAATCCTTGCAAGGTAATACTCGGCCCATTCCCAAACTCGTTTTTGTATCATGGGATTGAAATGCGGACAAGACAAGCCAAGCCAAGCCCAGCGCACATATTAACATGCTACAACAATGTTTTGTAGTCTAGCTAGCCCTCGATCGATCGCTGCCTCTCCAATCGCCCTCGATATAGTCCTCGATATGGGTAAAACCAAGGCGTACGTAATGGCAAAAATTTTAGATTCTTAGCAGACGCTTCATATCTTTTGACGATCGGATTCCGAAGTTTTTCCGAAGTTGGGCGGTGAACTTCAAGCATTCTATTATGGCAAAATGAAATTGGGAGTTCAAAACAAACCTCGAAACTTTGTTTCATGGAGAAGTTTGTTGATGCATGACTCAAGATAAGTGACAAAGATTTAGTAGAGTGGTAATCGACCTTCTCATCATACTACATAGATAAGGATTCTTGCGAAAAAGTATATAGGACACAGTTTGAAACTATAATCAAATGGGAATGATGTTTTAGAAACGATATTCTCAAATCATATTTTATTTAATTTCGAGTTCACTTGTACGTACTGGGGCTTTAATATCCGTTCTTGCTGTTCTACCTGTACTTCCTCCATGCTGCACCTATTAAGTTTCTCTCCTAACGATACTGTGAGTATTGGAAACAGTTAGCTTCGAAAGGTTAAAGTTGCTCGGTTTTAGTGCTATCCGATAGATAAATGTTTATAAGTGGTAAATCGATGCTGTTATTCAATAGATTTATTCATTGTAACCGGGCCGAACAACCAACGATCTATGCACCCTCCCGCCCTGTATGCACCTACTCCGGGAAGCGCTTTTCATTGTATAGAAAAATACATTAAATAATTGTCCAAGATCAACAAAGAACTCAACTTTGACCTTCGCCGTGAACAAAGTTCCAAAGTTTGTTTTGAACTTCCGATTGAAACTTCGAAATCCGATCGTCAACGGACCCAACCATCCACGTATCTCGTCAGTTCAACATGTCATTTACTAGTAACATGAGTTGTACCGTGTATTAAATAACTTTCCTTGGAGGTCTAGAAAAGACGGGGAAGTCTGTAAGAAGCGAAAGCGTAAATGGGATGACGTAGGGTAGTTATGTTGTCCAAAATGACGTCATATGTCAAGTGTTGATTGGCTGTTTACTCGTTTCCTGTCGCGAAGCTCGATTGCGAAAGTTCACGTGGTTACACGATATCGAGGCATTCCTTAAATCACTCCAACAAACATGGCGGACGAGAAGCGTTTTAGCATGGTGAATACAATATCGCCATAAAAACTTTCATTTTGTCGGCATTTTGGACTCTAAAGTGACTATTTCTTTGTTATTTTAGGGCGAAGAAGGGACTTTACTGGATAAGGCAATCACCGAAAGCGCTAATCACTATTTCGATGAGTTAGATTACAGAAGTACGACATAATGTTTCAATTTTTTTTTTTTTGCCCTCTTTTTTTCGCCTTGAGTTAAAAAATAAAAATTTCGTCAACCAATTGATCGGATACCGAGATATTAAAGAGTTTAATTTAGGGCTAGTTTACTGGTTGTGGTTTTAATGCGTTTGTTTTCTTTCCACAGATCATAGACAAGTCTACGTTGGTGTTCACCTTCCCATCCAGAATGCAAGCTCTCGTACGAGAAGAACAAGCAAGGATTCTTCCAGGAGACGCCATCATCACAGACATCGCAGAAAGCACAAAGGAGAAAAGGGTTCTGATGGTATGGCTAATATTCTTATCCACAGTACATCTAGCAGGTTTTCCTTTTTTATCCTGTCACTAGATAAAACAATATTCTTGTCATTCCGAAAAGTATTATTAGGGTGGAGGAAGTCTCATGATCCGGAATTTGAATCGTAACTAGTTAAAAACTACTTTCTTTTAGACCGTTTTTATAGTTATATATATACACTGCATGAGTATAGATAAGATATTTTATATAACAGAGAATTAAATATGTCTTAAGAGCTTAATAATTTTTCGATTCGAAAGGAGTTTTCGTAGCGTTGTACGTAGTACCTGGAAAAGTTAGTATTGTTTGTTTATTGATGCTAAAGAAGTAGGAAAACCGATTGTGATGAAAAGAGCGGTTGTTGTTGAGGACTAGTGGTCGGAAGTCATTTTTTCCTTCCTTTGATCAGATTGATGTCTCTTTGAAGTTCAGTTAGCAAGCGCAATGTTACAAAAAAAATTTTCTGCCTAATTTGTTTGTTGTTGTTGTTGTTTTTCTCCCTTCCTCTTAATTCCTTTTGTTTCTTTTTTCCTTGCTGTTATTTAATTCTCTCTTGTTGTAATGATTAAAATAAATCTCTATTAGTTTGTTTATTTCTACCCCTACTCTTTGTTCTTTTGCTTTCTTTTTTCTTCTTTTCATTATGAGTCGTGTACACCAGTGTGAAACACCAGTGATTATACTTTTTATCAGTTTTGCAAGACTTAATATTTTTTTGTTTTCATTCCTAAAATGCTCATGCTTTATATAATTTTTGTGTTTTTAAGAAGCTGTAGACACTATACTATTGTGTTGGCTGGTATGTACTTCCTGTTAACATTGCTTATGCAGCATTCCAGACTGATTACTTAAAATTAAAATTCAAAAAGTATGACATGAAGGACTATCCTTTTAAATAATGTCTGTAGTATGCCCTGATGAATATTTGAAGTTAAGTTATGAACGACAAAAGCAATTTGGTAGATGCTTGGATCAAATGGGAGTCCATTGAACAGACTCTATCCATTGATATGATAATGAATGACAGTGATTTTGTCATTCTCTCTAAAGTTTACGATTATCTATCTATCCTTCATTTCTTATATCCATATGTGTCGTAGTAGATAATTTTATCACCGTAAATACAAAAGATAATAGACTGACGTTTCGGACGTTAGTCCTTCGTCGGAGTCGATCTAGATAATTTTATCACCCTAAATACGAATATCACCGTAATTGTTATATCCATATATTGCTTGATGACAAAATAATAGGTTTTTCTTTGTAGGCGAATGTTTGAAAAGTAAGTTATGATTTTTCAATTTTTTTTACAAATAACCAAACACAGGCTACAGCAAACATGTCAAGCTATGTCCTGTCAAGATTCTTCCAGTTTTTTTTCTTTGAGAACTACTCCAAATTTCAGACTAGAAAGATCATTTAATTGCTTTGTTTAATCAAACATCAAGTGCTTTCAATATATATACCAATGGTTAAAATTGCATTTGACAATAATATTAAAGTATTCACTGCTGTTGTTTTTATTGGTGAGAAATACTCATTGTCCTGTAAAACAGTACTTCAATATTAGTGTTATCTATTTGGAGCCAATAGGGAACTAGATGCATAGAATAACTATAGATACTCATCTATTAATTCCTTATTTCGTTTACTTCACATAATATTACACCACATACTTATCTATTGCATAGTATTTCAAGCAGTGGACACATGCACTTCTATAATTACCTATTTTTTCATGAAGCTTTTTAAATTTGACAACTTTTTTCCATTTGCATCCCTGTATTTTTGCCAAATATTTTAACATTGTTTTAGATAAGATAGTTTTTGACTCAGTCATTGGTCCTATTATTGCACCCTGCAATAAAAGCTTAAGGTCTGCTTATCTATCTCCCTTTTGTTTTTTTTGTTTTTGTTTTGTTTTGTGTTTTTTGGTTCTGCTTTCTTTTGGTTATCTTTTTTTTTCCTTTTTGGTTCTGCAAATTATTGTCTGTGCACCTCCCTGCAAGATCCCTAGTTACGCCACCGAGTTGGTATTAAAAAACGATCAATGGTCCGATTTTATTCGATGTGCACCCACCCTGTAAAAGTTCTGGTTACGGCCCTGGAACCTAGAATCACAAAAGATATTTAGTACAAGGAATTAGATCCAACCCTTTCCTAAGAATTTAACATTCGAAAATAATTCACTAAGACATTTCATAGTAAATAATTATAAGATTCAGGGATATTAAATGATTTTTATGCTTTTCACAATTTTAAAAAGTCTTTTTGAAAGCTATTTTTACTTTCGAACAATTTCTGTGACAAATAGAAGTCTGTCCTATATAATATATATTTAATTTTGATTATTTTGCTTATTGTTGACAGACATATATTTTGTTTGACTTGATGGATTTCATTAATATAAAGGGTATTTAGAAGTACATATGTCATTCGAAAATGTTCTTAAATTGTCCTGTGATTTGTTAACATTTTAGTACATTACACCTTGAAATATCGTAGATGAAAATTAAGCATTTCCTGTATCACATTCATTTTTAATATAAATAGGTTATTGAAATTCCAAGAGTTTTGAAAAACGAAAATGAAAACAGTTAGCTAGCTTAAATAGGGTGAGGTGACATGAGTTTATTACAGTATCTAATTACTGAAGCACTCTCRTTAATAATTCTTAGCATTTACAAAACATTGATCCTTCATTCGGTATCCGGTCATTTCGAGACACAGTCGTTTCGAGACAGGTCGTTTCGAGACACTAAGATACAAGTTCGAGACAGGCATATATCCGTTTCGATACACCTCATACACCGTTCAATATATATCATATGTATAGGATATTACAGGTTCAAAACGATCTTATAAAGATAAGTATTTATTGCTATGTTGAGATAAAAGGATACCAGACCAAACGTTACCAAGTTTTCCGTAAATTATTGACTTGAAAACTCGTCAATCGACAACAAGAATGATCGACTCGTCAAAACTCCCAGATCTTAGTCAGAAAACTATGATTTTTTCCAAAATCTTTATCAGAAATTTACATCTTCTAAACTTAATGAAGAACTTTTAGATAAACATGAAAGGGGATTCAAGTTTAGAGAGAAACACGCAAATGACTAGCTCAAAAACTTTAGACGCGGACGAGATATTTTGACTTGACAACAAGAATGTTCGACTCGTCAAAACCAACAGATCTTAGTCAGAACTCTATGATTTTTTCCAAAATCTTTATGTTGGTGTGGTTTCGTTGGTGTATAGTGCATCTAAAATCTTATTATTATCAAGGTAAAAGCATATGAATTATTGACTTTTGAAGTATTTGGTCAGTTGTGCGTCTTTGCTGGTTAGGAGTTTAAAAAAGCCAATAAAGTGCTGTGATAGGTAGATTTTGATCCGCTTGGAGCTCAAAGCTCGATGAATCTACTCTGATTGGAGTTTTTTTTGACGTGGATCGAATTCATATACTTTCACCTTGATAAAAATAAAGGTTATACTAATATATTCTCTAACTTTAATTAGTGTTTCTGATAACGATTTTGAAAAAAATCAGAGTTCTGACTAAGATCTGTTGGTTTTGAYGAGTCGAACATTCTTGTTGTCGAGTCAAAATATCTCGTCCGCGTCTAAAGTTTTTGAGCTAGTCGTTTGCGTGTTTCTCTCTAAACTTGAATCCCCTTTCATGTTTATCTAAAAGTTCTTCATTAAGTTTAGAAGATGTAAATTTCTGATAAAGATTTTGGAAAAAATCATAGTTTTCTGACTAAGATCTGGGAGTTTTGACGAGTCGATCATTCTTGTTGTCGATTAACGAGTTTTCAAGTCAATAATTTACGGAAAACTTGGTAACGTTTGGTCTGGTATCCTTTTATCTCAACATAGCAATAAATACTTATCTTTATAAGATCGTTTTGAACCTGTAATATCCTATATATATGATATATATTGAACGGTGTATGAGGTGTATCGAAACGGATATATGCCTGTCTCGAACTTGTATCTTAGTGTCTCGAAACGACCTGTCTCGAAACGACTGTGTCTCGAAATGACTGGCATTCCTTCATTCTAATTTAACCATTATTCATCACATCTTCTAACTGATGATGGCATGCATTCTGTCGTAACATCTCTTCAACTAAACCCAAGTGTGGAATGATTTTTAGATGTATTAAACATATAGTTAATATAATTTCTAAACTAATAATTAATGTAAATATTTATCTTCCCTTAAGAGAAGGACAAGACAGGACTGCCATTCTGAGTATTAATACTTGTCTGAGTATCACTAAAAGTATTTGATATATTTATATTATTTAAAACCATCATTGGGTACCACAGGTCACCTGTGGCATAGAGTCGAGAGAGCTCACCTCACTCAGCGCTCAGTCCCACTGGGCTCGATGATGTTTATCAGTAGAAATGCTTCAATGTTGGTTCTCTTCTATGCATTGAGGGTTTTTCTCCCTCCACAAAAATCAACTCCTATTAACTCTAATTTGATCATAAAATGAGCTGAGGGCCACAGGTTTGTTAGTCTCTGGCTATTACTGCAATTTCCATAGACATTAATRATAAAAGGGTAAATTTTACACTGTGAAAAAATGAAAAAACTTCAGACACTAGTCCTTTGTCRGAGTTTTATGTTTCCATAAACATGCAAACTCTGTGTCTCCAAGTTGCACGCTGGAATTTAGTTTTTCACTACCGCCAGTCAAAAATATAAAAGGTCCGAATGATTGATTGACRGCAGCAAAAACAAATTTTAGCTGCAACTCGCAGACACAGAGTTCGCATAATTATGAAAATTGCGGTAGGGGATCCTCATAAAACCAAGGGCAGTTATTTTTTTATTTTTTACTTTTTTTATCATTTTATTTACTTTTTTAAAGGAAATATTTGAAATCTGGAATAGTTTGCTTGTATGTCTTGGTGTAAGCCAGGATTTCCTCAACTATTAAACAATACTATAATAAAGAAGTAATCATTGATCCAGTTGCTATTGTTTCTGGATTTTTTTTTACCTCATATTTTTACACATAGACATTTTGATCCCTGATCGAGAATCTTCTTCTTTTACTTGAGCAAGATTTTAAAATGGCTAGCACACGCTGTTTGATGTTTGTTTCATTAGTTTTAGTCGTATATTTTGTATGTGAGTCTATTGTTTTGTCTAGCTTCAGATATTGAGAACCCATGCTCCCTACCCAACGAAAGAGTGCGTTTCATCCTTGGTGGTCAAGAAATCGAAGTGGAAGGCCATCAAATATTTGCTGAACTTGATGAGTATAGAGTTACTGAAGAAGGGGGAGTATGGAAGGAATCAGCAAGATGGCTAAAGTTTGAAGAAGATGTTGAAGAAGTTGGAGACCGATGGAGCAAACCTCATGTGGCTACTCTTTCTCTTTATAGTCTGTTTGAACTGCGTAGCTGTTTGCTACATGGCTCAGTACTGCTAGACTTGAATGCTTCTAACCTGGAACAGATATGGGGTAAGTGAAAAGTGATTTAAGAGAAAAGAATTAAACTATCATCCATTGCAGGGCTTTAAATAGCAGCTGGTCAGTTGGCAGTCACCAGGCAAGATGACCAGACAAATTAGTTTTTAGCTCGGTCATACCTTGTTTCTTGCTCAATGTCACTGGTCAAAATGATGAGCAAGGCAAAGATTTGACCAGACAAGTTCCAAGTGTTGCCAGACATGATTGGCTGATGGCTGGCTATTATTTTAGGCCCTGCATTGCATCCAYCCCTATATTAGTCCATTCATCCATCCCTTCCATTCATCTCATTCATTTAATAATTCATTTGATATGTTCTGTTCATGTATTAGGCTTGTAAAAATGTGGGCAGTTTATCTTGGTTTTCTAACAATTCAAAACAATTAAAGGGTGCATGATTCCAACAAAGCTTATTGTTAGTAAGATTACTTGTAGTCCAGTTTCTGGAGTTCCCTGCTAGCAGAGTCTCTCTTCTCTTTCTGTCCCTTCTTTCAGGTGGGGAGGAAGGAGACTCTGGCGATGTAGAGCATTTCCTTTGATACACTGCCATCCACGATCGTGGACAAACAAAACCAGTTTTTAACCAATTACATGTAGTGCGCATGAGCAAATGTAACACACCGTGGCGCCAAACATTGTTTGACTAGAACGGCTGTCAATATCATGACAGCGTTGCTAAGTTACGCCACGCATGCGTGATAGAAATAACGTCCTACATTAGCAGAGTCTATTTTTCTCTCTCAACCAAAACAAAAGGAAAATAGGCTCTGCTAGCAGGGAAATTCTGGAGCAGTGCTCCAATAATCATTAGTTGGCATGCCTTGCAAATTTTTAGTCATCAATTCTTACTTCAATTAAACTGTAAAAGGCATTTTTAAAATTAAAAATTGTTCTTTTGTTGGCTGTAAGTGTAACTGAAAAAGGTACCTGAGTTTTCAAGTTGATTATTTGAGCAAGGACCGCCTAGATGATTTTGTTTTTATGAAAAATACGGTCAAATCCAAGATCTTGGCAAAAAAATGTAAAGTTTGCAACATCATATCTCAAAAACAGTGACTCCCAAGTTTTTCTTTCTTAAATAAGTTTTCAGTTTATCTTAAATGATTTTTTTATTTTTCATTTTTATCTTAAATAATTTATTTACACACAATTAACCATGAAAATGAGTGCTTCTTTTTCTATGATAATGTCAATATTACTCAGTGTTTATCTCTAAAACAATGACCCCCATTCTTTATTTAGTATTTCTAACTTCAATTTGATCAAGGATTAGTATGTCAAGTTTCAGAAAATTCAAATCATAACTTTATTAATTTTGCCCCTGAATGTCCTTAAGTTAAAGATAGAATTTTTGTATTAACTTACTTTATTGTTTGCTAATTTAATAGACTTGGTGCTGGATGATTTGGTCTACACAAAACAGTTAGAACAAGACAATAGAGCCAAAGCCAAAGAAGTGCTTCTAGAAAAACATGTTCACCAGTTTGATAAATCATCAAAGTCTCGCAAACAAAAACCAAAAACCTCACAAAGTCTTGGCCAACAGCTTGCCAGCCTTGGCTCTAGAAAATCTTCTGCACCATCGCTGCAGGGCTTGGAGAAGAAAAAGCCTGTGATTGAAGGCTCCAGGTCAGTGCCTTTTAATCTCACGGCGCTTATGGAAGAAGATGAGCCAAGTGATTCAGATAAATCCTTTCCTTACATCCCATCTGCTGTTTCATTGGTTGGTCAAGGAAATGAGGAGGATAAAGACAGTGAGAGGGATACTAACAATGACACCTATGAAACAGTAAGTTCTTTGAGTTTTACTTGAAAAAGTTATTTTGTGTCTTTTGATATGAAAAAAAAAATTTTCCAAGGTCAAACTGCATCTTGCTGAGATTCATGTCAGATCAGACAAGGGCTTGTCAAGATTCTTCCCAAGATCCAGATACACTCAATTGAAGAATCGTTGTAGGCTTCAGAAACAAAACATACAGTAGAAGCTGAGACCGAAATGGCACATGGGAAGTACATGTACATTAATTAGATGCATGCTGTGACCAGCGACCAGTAGCATCATCCACTGTTTTTAATACACGTTTGGCATTCTAAACCGACTGCTTGGATGGCGCAAATGAATAAAATGTAATATAATTATGTCATTTCCCATGTGCCATTTCGGTCTCAGTTTCTATGTTCTATGTTTCTGAACCCGATAACGATTCTTCAATTGAGTGTATGATAATCTTGCATAAACCTGCAATATCCTGCAAGCTCTTGCACAAGATCTTTGAGGATCTTGTAGGACATTGCTGCAGTAGGATCTTTGATCTAATTCTTGGATCCTCTTAGCAAGGAATTGTGAGGGGGGAGGGGGAGGGGGGCCCCCACAAGAACTAAAAAAAAGAAACAAACGTCTTTATTGATTTAATTAATTACCAGAAATGTAAGGGGGGGGGGGGGGGCATATATTCTATGCTAATGAACATGAGTCATGATTAGCATTGTTTTCCTTTCACAAAACTTAAATATCTCAATTTCATTGGTTTTTGTTAATTGGCTTCTTAGTAAGAACCACTTATTCAGAGCTAATAATCCACCTCTTTATTTATTTCTACCAATTCATTCCCTTTTGAAGTTGACTCTACACCATGGGAAAATAAACAGTACTACTGATATTAGTGATATCTGATGTTTCACATATTCTTGTTGATACTTTTAGTTTGATCATAACTTCATGAAGAAAATTCCCCCTGGAGCAGAAGCATCCAATTCTCTTGTTGGTGAAGTAGATTTTCTAAAGAAGCCAATCATAGCTTTCATTCGTCTGGAAAACAGCCTGCTGCTAAATGACATCACAGAAGTCCCTATTCCCACCAGGTTCATGTTTATCATGTTGGGACCCCCAAGTACCCCAGGACGATATCATGAAGTTGGAAGAGCAATTGCAACCTTAATGTCTGATGAAGTAAGATATAGAAATGCAATCTGTAATTGATTGTATTTATCTGTAATATATTTATTTGGGAAGCATGAGTGGAGTAGTGGTGTGAGCGCTCGCCTCTCACCAATGCCACCTGAGTTCAAGTCCCGCCATGCTCAGTGTTGATATGAGTAGAGTTGTTTGTTAGTTCTCTCCTGTGCTTCAAGGGTTTTCCGGGTGCTCCAGTTTTCCTCCCTCCGCAAAAATCAACTCCTAAATTCCAATTCAATCACAGAATGAGGGCCATRGTTTTGTTAGCCAATGGCTATTAAGTGCTACCCTTGTGGGGGGAAAATGGACAGTATTGTGTAACAGTATAAACCATTACAGTTCTAGCACAATACAAAGCTCTCTGGAATAACTTGTTCATAATTGCATAAAATGTCAGATATAGTGCTGTAAGTTATATATACAGTATGAGTGGCAGTGTTTATACTATATATAAGCTCAGGCGTTGAGTGGTGAGCTGACTAGCATTTATACCAACATTTTCTTATAATTGTCGAAAAATAGGAACGTTGTGTATTCTACATTATCTTATTCCTACCTATTAATGCCATTTGGTGATACCATTCGACTAATGTCTTGCAAACATGAATGTGGCCTATTGGGAATCAAGTGTGGTGCAGTGGTAGTGCTCTTGTCTCTTATCTCTGGGTTCTCTGATTGCATTCATATTGCCCATAGTGCCCATTTCAGGTTTGTTATACAACATGCAATTTACCATTTTGCTTTGTTGTTATTTAGATCTTCCATGAAGTGGCTTATAAAGCAAACTGCAGACAAGATCTTCTGTCAGGCATGGATGAGTTTCTAATGCAGGTAAGATCTTCTGTCAGACATGGATGAGTTTCTCATGCAGGTAAGATCTTCTGTCAGACATGGATGAGTTTCT